CCCGCGTGCCTAGAGCCCGTGCTCTGCAACAAGCGAAGCCACCGCAATGAGAAGCCAGCGCACTGCAACTAAGAGTAGCCCCCGCTCGCGGCAACTAAAGAAAGCCTGCACGCAGCAATGAAGACCCAACGCAGCCAAAAATAAATAAATTTATAAAACAACAAAAAAGATTACTCTGGGTACAAGAGGATGTTAAATGGGACTTTTCCTGACTTGGAGTTTCACCCAAATCTGAGCCCAGTGTTAAGTGCCCGCTGGGTACTTTTATAGAGAGACATGCTAGACCATCTTCACACTGCTAAGTGGGGAGCCCAACACTATGTCAGGCACCCATGGCCTGTCACCCCTTTTCAGCTGATGTACAGGAGAAGGCAAAATTGGAAGATGGCCTTTAGAATTCTAGAAGCTTCCTCCCACCTTCCCAGCAAGTGGAGGGGAACTTGAGAGAACTGCTCAGAGAAATTGACAGGTGCTCCCGAATTGAATTGAAAGGGACAAGAAGTGGTGCATGACTCGCCCAAAAAACTCAACAGTTGAGCCAGCTGGGACTGCTGAAGTCTAGTATGACTGCAGAGGGCGCGGCCTCTGCCTCCAGGGCTTGGTCGGGGCAGAGCTGCTGGGACTTTGCCAAGGGCTAAGTGCACATGAAGCAAGTAGCTGGGTTGTTCTGGAAGGACCTCGGCCAAGACGCCTGTCTGCAGGTGAGCTGACCCAACAGAAAAAGGCTGGGGGGACATGCCACCAAATGCAGGAGCTGATGGTCAACCACTGTATCATCTGAACCAGAAAATGGATAAGAAGGGGCCTCCCAGCAAGGGGGGGTCTCCAAAATATCCCCAAAGTGAGCGCACAAAAAGAACAAAAGAGGCAGCCTTTGGATATCAGCACACAGAGAGCTCCAATACTAGGTAGCAACATCATTAACTGAATTCGTTTCCTGTGGCTGCCATAAAATACTGGGTGGCTTAAAACAACAGAAATGTATTCTCTCACAGTTCTGGAGCCACAGGTTCAACCTCAAAGTGTTGGCAGGACCATGCTCCTCCCAAAAGCTCTGGGGAGAATGCGTCCTTGCTTCTTCCAGCTTCTGGTGGCTCTAGGAGTCCCTTGGCTTGTGGCTGCATCACCCCGATGTCCACCTTAATCTTTACGTGGCTTCTCCTCTGTCTCTGTCTTCTCCTCTTCTGTCTCTTCTAAGGACACTTGTCATTGGGTTTAGGGCCCACCCAGGTAATCCGGGATGATCTTACTCAAGATCTTTAACTTAATTATACCTACAAAGACCCTTTTTTCGAATAAGGTCACATTCACAGTTTAGGAAGTGGTTAGGAAGTGGACGTATCTATCTTGGGGGGTGGGGGGACCATTCAATTCACAATACTAATCAAATAAGACCTTTTTACCACTCCTTCCTCCTCCTGCCCTCACCCTGGGGAGACCAGAAAATAGCGCAGGAAGCAGAGACAGGGTACAGTAAGGAGAGTGAAGAAATTAATCCACGTGTCTTTCCCTTTGCTGGGCCACAGAGTTACAGATCACACCTGAGCTGAGCGAGGGTCAGCACTTTGAATTGGTTGAGTAATAGAAGTTCTGATATTAGATTAGAATGGATTTAGTCAAAAGATACAAACTTCCAGTTATAAGATAAATAAGTAATGTACAATATTATAAAGATAATTAACAACCGCTGTATGTTAAATATGAAAGTTGTTAAGAGTAAATCCTGAGAGTTCTCATCGCAAGGAAAACATTTTTATTCTTTTATTTTGTATTTATATGAGATGTTCACTAAACTTATTGTGGTAATCATTTCATGATGTAAGTCAAATCATTATGCTTTGCATCTTAAACTTATCCAGTGCTGTATGTCAATTATATCTCAGTAAAACTGGAAGGAAAAAGAAAAGAAAAGCTGTGGGATTTGCTCAAGCCTCAAGCTCCAGCCCTAGAGCAGCCGAGGGGCAGGAGAGAACCAACAGAGCTTGTTTCGAGGCAATGGTGAGAAAAAATTAAAAGTTTCTTCTTTCTTACACCCTACAGAGCCCGGCCTGTTCAATAAAGTAGATTAATAGGTGTCTCACTTTGGTCTTGTGATAGAAGAAATTTTGTAGCAATAGCCTTTTGAAACTAGTCTCTGAGGTTACATCCAGGATAAACTTGCAATGTTTCAACAGTTTTTAAAATGGAGTCGCTGCTGCTGCTTTACTAATTACAGCTTTAGTCTTGGTCCTGTCTTCCCTCCTTCTAGGTAAGGTTTATTACATTGCTCAGTCATAGAATCACCCTGCTTCCTGACAGCATCCAATCCAGAGCAAAACCCTGCTTCCTTTAACCTTCCCCCAAGTTACCCTCCAGTATGGGGTCAGCAAAGAAGGCTGCCACTTTCTCTAGTTCTACCAACACTTTGTCTTTATTGGACCCTTGCCGGTAAAGAATGTGTACAGGTGGGAAGTGCAGGATGCACAAGGCTACTTAATGAATGTTTTCTACTTTCATATCAGCTGATGCATGCCAAAGGTGCAGTAGGTACTTGTTGAATTAATTACTGCGTTAAGTAAATAGATAAGTCACAGTTTTGTCCAAAGTTTTGTCAACATTTAGTTGAGCGCTGTCTTGACTGGAAGCAGAAAGGGTAGGTGGCAGAGTAGTTCAACACACTTCGATGCTCAAAAGCAATAGTAGGGCTAGCTTCTTTCAATTCAGGGCCCGGTGCGGACCTTCGGCCCCAGACCACAGGACCCCAGACTGGGAGCTGCGGGAATGGGGGTGTGTGGCGGGGATGGGGTGGTGGGGGGTGGTGGGATGGGGTGGGGGGGTTTGGGGGGGTGGGTTGGGGGCTGGCCCCGGGCCCGGCTCCCGGCCCGGCCCACTGGGCCGCCGATCGCTCTGCGCAGGCGCCATTTCCCTAGCACGCATGCGCTGGGTCCCGGGCAGTGTTCTCCAGCTTGCGGGCTTGGATTGGTTGAGCTTTCGTGATCCCGCCCTGGGACTGGAAGTTCTATGTGGACGCCGAGGCCTCCCGGGCTTCGCCTGTGCTTCTCGGTGAGCTATTCTCTGTGTTCGCCGGCGTGTCTGTCACTGCAGTCAGGCGAGTCCTTGTTCCCAGTGGAAGCCCACCCCTGCTTGGGGAGGTTCTCGGTGTGCCCAGGGCCGGTAGACCGGAACGTGCCCTCGCCCTCACCTCTCCTCAAGCCGAGATCTCCCGGGTGGGCCGCTCCTTCGGGGCCGCCGCTGCCTGTGTGCTGGGTGCCAGGCTGTCACCCTTGGACGGCTTGCAGCAGGCTTTGCTTGTCGCTCCACCCCACCCACTGGTATCCGAACCCGGGCCAGAGTGGGCCCTTGTGCAGGTCCCTTCCCCTCGCTGCACCTTTGCTAGGGGTCGTCGTAAGGCGAAAGGGCCCTAGAGCAGTACTGCGTGACTTCAGAAACTGCGACGCCCCTACCAACATTTGGCATCATTCCTCTCCACAGAGGAAGGGGCTCCCTGTGTAGCCGGAGAGATGTATGTGGGTTACGGCTAGAAATTAAAATTTTCTCTTTAGATCTTAGATCTAAAGATCTAAACAGATCTAGGTTATTGCTGATTTGTTACCAGCTTTTGGAAATTTCTCTTTGATCTTTCATCAGGTTTTAGGGCGGATGTGTGCACTTTGTCCATATATCCGTTATGTCAGTTAATATTTACAAGGTTTTGTATGCATTCAGTCAACAGATATTCAGGGCCTACTGTTGTTGGCACTGTATAAACTGTTTTTAATATGTATCAGGAAGCTAGGGGTATAGGTGTGTATCTCAGCATTATCTGTACTAGCATATGCTCTAGAACTGTGTTGTCCAATATGGTAGCCGCTAGCTACATAAGGCTGTTGAGTACCTGAAACGTGCCTAGTCCGAATTGAGATGTGCCTTAAGTGTAAAACAGCGAATTTTGGAGAATTAGTATGAAGAAGACAATGTAAACTATCCCAGTTTTTTTATATCCATCAACGTGTTGAAACAGCAATATTTGGGATACACTGGGTTAAATAAAATGTATTATTAATTTCACCTGTTTATGTTTTTTCCGTGGCCACTAGAAATTTTACATTATTCTTTTGGCTTGCATTATATTGCTATTGGACAGCACTGCCCTAGAAAGGGGTCAGCAGACTATGGCCTGCAGCCAAATCCAGCCTTCCTGTCTTTGCAAAAGAGATCTATGGGAGCGAAGCCATATCCATTCATTTCTGTATTGTCTGTGGCTGCTGTTCCTGCTACAAAAACAGCAGAGTTGAGTAGTCCATACAGAGGCTGCATGGCCTGCAAAGGCCAAAGTATTTACTATCTGGCCTTTTATAGAAAAAGTTTGCCGACACCCTGCTCTAGAACAATGCCCGGTATGGTAGATACAAGGAAACCTTTTCATTGTAGTCCTGTGTAATTGTCAGTTAGGCTTAGTGTGGGCCATAGTTCTAAGGACTTTATAAGGACTCTCTCGTTTAATTCTCATATTAATTCTGGGATGTTGGATTCCCCTCCCCCCCACATATACTTGACACCCCCTACTTCTGGCAACTGTACCTTCTAGACCCTCCTTATCCCCAAATGGCCTGACTCCTGGAGCCCACGTGATTAGCCCACAGGAGGCACCATGCTTCTGTTTTCTTTTTTTGAACTAGAATATTTTAAAATGATTTTCTGAACTAGAATTGAGATGAGGTTGCGCTCCCGTGGAAGAAGCTGAGGGGCACTGGGCTTAGTTAGACGCAAGTGGGTACAAGCAAGCTTGTCCGTGGTGAAAAGGATGATGCTCGCAAGCAGAGAGGAGAAAGTATTTGTTGAGTAATAGTAAGCCCTGACCAGGTGTTTGCCAGGTGTGTAGCGGTGAATGAAACAGACGTCGTTCTTCTGTGGTCTTGTAGGGAAGGCACACAATAAAAAAAAATTTTTCGCGTGATATGCACCATGAAAAAAAACCAGTGTGCAAATATTTGATGTTCTTAATAGGTTTCATCATCGTAAGATGGAGCTAAGTGCTATACCTGTGTCGGGGGTTTTGTGAGGATGGAGATGACATGAGTGTATACGGCACACAGAGTTGCTCGATGTGCACTGTATTCTGCTGTTAGAAGGTAAGTGCGGGAATGGCTGTTCGGGACTCTGGGTGCATCGTGACACTTAAAACATTGCAGTCACCAGTTGTGGTTTGTAGAGAAGGTTCTCAGGTGAGTTGTGCACAGCAAGCGTTTTTAATATTTCCTAATTTAATGAGGCTCCTCTAGCAAAATGCAAAGTCAGAGAGGTTGTGCGCGTTCAGTGTGGGGGCAGGATGGGAGCTGCCTTCCGGCTGATGGCAGCAGAGCTGGGTTGGTCTTGCTGCGGGAGGGGGGTTGTGCCTGTGTGTACAGGGCAGTGGTGGCAGCTCTGGTTTAGATCACAGTCACCTGGAGAGCTGCAAAATACCCAGGCCTGCCCTCAGAGATTCTAATTCATTCTGTCTGGGGTGAGGCCCTGGCATTGTTTTTGCTTTTGCTGTTTAATTTCTCCAGATGATTCAGATTGGCAGTCAGGAGTGAGACCCACTCCTGGTGAGAGACAGGCAGGCAGGCTCAGGGAGCTAATGGGGCAAAGGCATCGAGCTGGGAGGTAGGCAGTGTCTGTCAGCGATGCAGCGCGATCACACTGGAAGCTGGAAGGGGGCTTTTCATCACCTGGCCAGGGACCGTGGGCTCCATCCTGAGAGCAGAGGGGAACCTGTGAAGGGCTTTAAGCAGGCAAATGGGGGAATCTCTTGCTGAGATCTGTACTGGAGGATGATCCCTCTAACAAAATGTCGTGAATCAGAGTGAAAGCAGCGAAGAAGTAATTGGAGCCGGCCAGATGATGGGAAGCCCAGGTTTGCTTTCTGTATTCCTCCTACATGTGTCCCTTAGCAGCGGTGTCTGTCCTTGTAATTGGCCAGCTTCTTGTCTGTGTTCCTTCCGCTGGGCTGTCAGCTCCTTCAAGGCAGAGAGTAGCTCATTAGGCTCAGCATTTATCGTGTATGAGATACATAATAGATATTTATTGAATGAACTGTGTAGAACTCTAAACTGGACACACAGCCTACTTTGTCTTTTTGTGGCAGTTCTCAAAATTTTATATCCCAGGTGCTTCCACACTATAGCCTCCTAGGGCAATAAATTGCTTTATATCTACGTGACTGTCCCACAGGGAGAATAGGAAGTTGGACAGCATTTAAATGCTGTTAAAAATATGGAGGAGAATGGGAAACAGTATGGTGGTTCCTCAAAAAATTAAAAATAGAATGACCATATTGATCCAGCAATCCCACTTTTGGGTATATACCCAAAAGAATTAAAAGTAGGGTCTCAAAGAGATATTTGTACATTCATGTTCATAGCAACATTATTCACAAAAGGTAGAAGCAGTCTAAGTGTCCATCAGTGGATGGATGGATAAACAAAATATGCTCTGTCCATACAATGGAATATTATTCAGCCTTGAAAAGGAAGGAAATTCTGACACATGCTCCGACATGGATGACCCTTCAGGACATTATGCTGTGTGAAATAAGCCCAACACAAGAAGGCAAATACTGTATGATTCCACTTATATAAGGCATCTAAAGTAGTCAGATTCATAGAGACAGACAGTAGAATGGTGGTTGCCGGGGGCTGCAGGGGAGAAAGAAATGGAGAGTTGTTGTTTAATGGGTGCAAAGTTTGTTTTGCAAGACAACTAGCGTTCTGAAAGTTGGTTGCACAACAGTGTGAATGTACTTAATGAACTGTCCTTGTAAAAATGGTTAAGATGGTAAATTATATGGTATGTGTATTTTACCACAATTCAAAACAAAAAAATATGGAGGAACAGTAAATAAAAGGACATATGAAGGGGCTTCCCTGGTGGTGCAGTGGTTAAGAATCCGCCTGCCAATGCAAGGGACATGGGTTTGAGCCCTGGTTCGGGAAGATCCCACAGGCTGCTGAGTAACTAAGCCCGTGCACCACAACTACTCAGCCTGTGCTCTAGAGCCCGCGAGCCACAACTACTGTAGCCCGTGTGCCTAGAGCATGTGCTCCACAACAAGAGAAGCCACCGCAACGAGAAGCCTGCACACCACAACGAAGTGTAGCTCCTGCTCGCCGCAACTAGAGAAAGCCCGCGCGCAGCAACGAAGACCCAACACGGTCAAAAATAAATAAGTAAATTTATTTTTTTAAAAAAAAGGACATATGAAATGCAGAGCAGAGTGCTAATGTATGAATCCATTAACTTCTGTAGATTTCCATGAGTAAAGAAAAAGTTTTACTATTAAGACAAACAGTGCTCCCATCGCCCTGAAGCCCTGAAGCCACAATTAAATTCCCCTTCAGAATCTCCTTGAAGCTCTGACCCTTCATTGAGAAATTCGACCTGAGTTAAATATTGCCTAACCTCGTTGTGGGCACTCTAGACTGGTCTCTTATTAACCACCTTGCTGACATCCAGCCAACTTCAATCTTGCTTTCTTTCTTTGGTAGTGATGCATATAGAATGAGTATAGACACGGGTAGGTTGAATACTTGTTAGGAAACTTTCCCACAGCTGGGGGGAGGGCTCAAGTTTATTGAGCTGCTTGAGACCTTATCATTGTGACGCCCCTGCTTGACTTCCTCCAGATCCCAAGATCTCAGGCAGACAATGCTGAGAGCAGTATTCAGCAATCGAGGATGTGTGTTTTTAATTTTTCTGTGCTGTCTTGCCTGTTCTTTGTTTACTGAGTCTTTGATTCTTAGAAAGATCTCTTTTACTGTTTTTAGTCTTTAAAAGTGGAATTCAATGAAATAATGCCATTTGCAGCACCATGGATGGACCTAGAGATTATCATACTAAGTGAAGTAAGTCAGACAAAGACAAACACCATATGATGTCACTTATATGTGGGATCTAAAATATGACACAAATGAACATATCTACAAAACAGTAACAGACTCACATAGAGAACAGACTCATGGTTGCCAAGGGGGAGGGGCGATCGGGGAGGGATGAATTGGGAGTTTGGGGTTAGCAGATGCAAACTATCATATATAGAATGGATAAACAACAGGGTCCTACAGTAGAGCACAGGGAACGATATTCAGTATCCCATGATAAACCATAATGGAAAAGAATATGAAAAAGAATATATATGTATAGCCGAATCACTTTGCTGTACAGCAGAAATTAACACAACATTGTAAATCAACTATACTTCAATAAAATTTTTTTAAAAACTACGTAAGTAAACGGGCAGGGCTATAAAACTTTATTTATAAAAAAAATAAGTAAATCAATACATCTTCATTCTGATCATTCAAAAAAAGAAAGTGGAATTCAAAAAGGAAAAACAATGATCTTGAAGTACCAATTCTCGATAATTAGAAAATGCCACTTAAGATCCAGAATCAGTGGCCCATTGAGTTATTGCTAACTGACTTTAAAAAAGAAATAGAGAAAAAAAAGACTGCCCAGGCGGTAAAAATGCAAGACCCAGAATCTTGGTCATCTGAGCTGTGCAGTGGGGAAAACCAGTAGGAACCTCAGAGTTGTAGTCCTGGGCACTTAACTGTTCACATTTGGGGTAGAGCTTGAGGGAAGATGGAACTGGTTTCGATGCAGCAGTGGACTTGTGAGGAAATCGTGAGGGCTGACCTGAATGCAGAGCCACGGGTGGGGTGAGGCGGCTGCTTTGTGGTGCCCTGATCTCTGAGGGCGGTGAAGTGGAATGAGCCATTTACCATGCCGTTTTCCAGTGGCCACATATCTTAAATGTATAGGGTTTATCATGAAATTGAACTAGACTAATCACTTTTCTGAGTAGGAAAACAATACATACACATTAGAGGAAATTCAGGAAAGAGTAAAAGAACAAACGAAAATCACGTAAAATCTTGCCATTCAGAAAATGCCTCTGTCTGAAATTTTTTGTGTCTATTTTTGGCCTTTTCTCATCACATGTGATTTTTAAATAAAATTTGGATCAGACTCTAGATGTTGTGTTTCTTTTTATTTATTTTTAATTAAAAAAACTTTTTTTTTTTTTTTGGCTGCCTCACATGGCTTGTGGGATCTCAGTTCCCTGACCAGGGATTGAACCTGGGCCCTCAGCAGTGAGAACACGGAGTCCTAATCACTGGATCGCCAAGGAATTCCCTAGATGCTGTTTCTTAATTTTTATTATTAAAACTTTTTTTTTTTTTTTTTTACCGTGCAACATGTGGGATCCTAGTTCCCCGACCAGCAATGGAACCCGTGGTCCCTGCAGTGGAAGCGTGGAGTCCCAACTGATGGACCACCAGGGAAGTCCCTAGATGCTGTTTTTAAATAACAGCTTTGTTCAGATATAGTTTATGTACTGTACAGTTCACCTACTTAAAGTGTACGATTCAGTGGTTTTTAGCTTATTCACAACTGTGCACCCATCACCACAGTCAACTTGAGAGAAGATTTTGCACCTCCCCCAAGAAAAACTCTGCACCCATTAGTAGCCACTCACTTTTTTTTAACATCTTTAGTAGATTATAATTGCTTTACAATGGTGTGCTAGTTTGTGCTTTATAACAAAGTGAATCAGTTATACATACACATATATTCCCATATCTCTTCCCTCTTGCGTCTCCCTCCCTCCCACCCTCCCTATCCCACCCCTCTAGGTGGTCACAAAGCACCGAGCTGATCTCCCTGTGCTATGCGGCTGCTTCCCACTAGCTCTCTATTTTACGTTTGGTAGTGTATATATGTCCATGCCACTCTCTCACTTTGTCACAGCTTACCCTTCCCCCTCCCCATATCCTCAAGTCCGTTCTCTAGTAGATCTGCGTCTTTATTCCCGTCTTACCCCTAGGTTCTTCATGACTTTTTTTTTGCCACTCACTCTTCATTCCACCCCACTGGTTCCCTTTCCCTTCCTTCCATCCCAGCCCTGGTCTACCACTAATTTACTTTCTGTCTCTACAGATTTGCCTATTCCAGACATTTCATGTAAATGAAATCGTACAATACGTGGTCTTCTGTGTCTTTGATTTAACATAGAGCTTTGAAGGCTCATCCACGTGTAGTCTGTATCAGAGTTTCCTTTTATTGACAAGTAACATCCCATTGTATGGAT